CAGTCTTGGCTCAACTCTAGTAATAAGACTACTGCTATCAACAAAGAACAACACTTCTTCACAAATATACATATTTGTTATAATTCTAGCTCATTGAATTACAATTTTTCCTCTGAACCTGCTTCCATTGACTGCTCAATGCATTTCAATTAATTTACTCAACAAACAGTAMACGGAAATAACTGTAAATTTCTATCACTTTGCAAAAATAGCAAATAGAAACMGAGCTGGTTTTGCCATTTGGACGCCAGCTCACCGCCAAAGGTAAATTTAATAAAGTTAAATGCATAATCRGCGAATCTTCAGGAAAAACTTGCCACATAACTTACCTCTACACCCATACACAAACATATATTTTCACATTAATACAACTAGATGTTTTTATGTTTGCATTTAGGTAGACAAACTCACCTCGTGCGGGMACTGGATCCTTTTGCGGTGTGCCCAATTCGATTTCCTTGTACTCCTGATACAAATTACCAATTTGTGCTGTGCAACGCAAAACCAAACCGCCATTCCCAGCAACACCACCGCCACCACCAACACCTGTATTATAGGATACACCCATAGCTGCCTGACTGCCGCCCAGGTGATTCATCAAGTGCTGGGTATTAATGCCGGCCACGAAATGTGCTGCATGCAATTGCAGTTTCAGGCTCAGTCTCGACGCTATTAAATTGTCAACCGTTCTGATGTATTGCGTTTCGCCCGTTGATACCTGCAAAGTGGATAACAATAATAAAATAGAATGTGCTACAACAAAAACGCAAAAAAAAAAAACAAAACCAACAAAAGTACAGAGACATAAATGTTAAGCAGTTGAATGTATAGAGCAATGGAAAGTAGTAGTTTAGAGCTGGTAAGTAGTTGTCGCACGTTACAGTTGTTATTGTTGTTCCTGTGCTATTGTACGAAAATACATGAAAAGACCTGTGCAAATTGCCATGCAAGTGTATGCAAGTGCATGAGCAACTCTGCTTGTTATACCGTTAATCGCTATTTGTATTTCGGTTCGTTATTCGCCTACATGTATGCTTCAATTCTTGGTTGCACAAAGTACCGATTAGGCACAATATACTCAACTCAACTTAGCCGGGCCTTTGCATTAACTCGGCTGTGGCTCATCAAGTGTGGTAAATTTTGTTGTAATTGTGTTTTGTTGTTTCTTTGTTTTGTGTGGCCACTTACAGTTTGCTTTGTAAATTATAGTTGTGTCGTGATTAACGTCATTCGGGGTGAATGTGTTGACACTAATTAATTTGAAAATATTGCACCTAAAGTGAGCTAGTCATAGGCGTTGCGGACTTATTGGGATAAGTGATGGTGGTACTTGAGTTCGGAGTAGACAGAATTTCGATGAAGTTAGCAAGTTCAYGAGAATGTTGGTCGAGTATTAAGATGCAGTTTTGGTGTATAATGATTACTTTAGAATAAGTTAATTTTTTAGGAAATTTGGCTATCATCATGACAGTTCTCAAAACTCATTMTATCAGTATAATGTATGCTACAGTTGAGGCGCTTGTTGTTGCTATAATATTTTTTTTTTTTGTAATATCTGGGGTACTAAAACTTAATTTTGTGTAATTATGCTCTGGCAACAAGTTGGTAAAGACGGCGTCGAATAAAATTGTCGGTTACATTTTTTCCATACTGTGCAATTAAAAATTTCGAAACAATTATTTTCTTAGTAGCTCTGAAATAAATTCCAACAAATATTATGCGTCTGYTAGAGCCAATAAAAATGTATTTAACGCGAAAATAGCAAGCAAATTGGAAGTGCAATTATTAATAATTTTTCAAAAGAAATCGCAGTAGTCTTTTAAGAAAATATCCAAAGAGGTAGGGGCTAACTCTGAAACCATTTTTCGCGTTTTTAAAYGCTTTAGGAAAGACGTGCRTATTGACAGAAAGAAAGGTTCTGGYAAGAARCAGGGGCCACATGATTGTGRAAAAGCGAMAATTTTTGTGACCATTCTCAAGAAAGACCCAAATTAAGCAAAGAAGCTGACAAAAGATTTTTTTTAAATATTCGAATGCTTCTTGATGGATGACGAGACCTATGTTTTAGCGGAATTTTCTCTGCTACCTCTACAGGAGTTTTATACAGCCGATTCTCAAAGAAAAAGTCAAAGTCAAAGACATAGGCAATAGAGTGATTTTAGTACCTAGAGAAGCGAATCTACCTACCCGTCCATAATTAAAGCCAGTTGGGAAATACTGGGCTTTATTAAAAATGGAGATAAACGGAATGCAAAGAGTGACCGAAGACCTTCAAAAGTTTGAAAGAAAGCGATCTTCAGTAGCTATGAGAGTATCCARCAAACCATAAAACCRCTAATGGACGGGGTTCCGGAAAAAATAAAAAAAATKTTTAATAAAACATAATTCTTGGTTTCTTCTCCGGGTTTCAAATTTTAAAAACATTTTTCAATAAAATACTTTAGTTTCTAAAAATCGGATTACTAGTTTTAAAGTTTTYTTCTTGCAATAACAAGAGGTTTGGTATTATAGATGGGCGTCATAGAACTACTGCCACGYCCACGAAGTACATTTAAACGAAAAAATATATAAAAATATACTACTAGATTTTCAATAATCTAATACTACTTTTTGCTTTCAACTGAAGATGTTAATTCCTTTAATTTTGTTTTTTAAAATTTTTTTTAAAAATGAATTCAATCCCCCCATATTTTTTCTGCTACTTACAGTACAACGGTAAAAAGAGATATATCATATTTGTGCTACTGACATTTTTCGCTGATATCCTTTAATGTTTCGCGTTACTTGCAATAGCAAACCACTCCAACCAGAATAACCAAGCCAGCCGTTTTTGGTCACTCATACGCAACGGCGCACCACTCTTAGGCGTTGTAGGACAAGACAAACAAGAGCAATTACGATAAAACGCACATGCGTCTGCCACAACTGCTTTGTTTTTTAAATTGGAAAAACTGAAAGCGAAGAAATGGAAAAATAACAACAAAGAGAATTGGTAACCGAAATGGSATGTGTGGCGGGGAGCRCAGTGGRGACCAATTGCAATTTGTCTGATAGTTATTACGGCAATGGGCGAGTAACTAAAGTARGGGATCGCAACAAGACAGCACACGTGGCAACATGTGATGCTGTGTGTGTGTGTGTGGTTATGTAAGAGTGGCGATTGTGTGCGAATGTGGGCAACCAGGCGGCCAAACGACAAACCAACGAGCAATAAGCACATTTTCGCCGAACAACATTGTAGATGGTTGTCAGCGTTGTTGCAAGTAACGCATTGGGGTTTGTTGTTTTTTAAATAACGGTTTTATATATAAAAACACGAGTTTATATATATATATTTTTTTTTTTTTTCGTTTTTGACCTTTTATGTGCATTGACGTTTTGGCATCCCTTACCGTGCCAAAAATGYAACAACAACACATACACAAGCACATATAAGTTTCGCCCGTTATGTATTCATATCGTAACTGACTTTCCGGTCAGCGAGGCGTCCAAAGCTCTCCGAACGGATGCACTTCGTCATGCACGGTGTTTGTTGTGCAACAACAACGCCAAACTGCTCAGTATTGATGCATTCAATGCATGCCATGCTTGTTTATGCGTGTGTGTGACACGTGGACAAGAAACTGGATTTGCTTCGCTTGCAGTGCGGTTGAGTTTAGCTGACTCGCGCTTGGGTCTCTTGCTTTGCTTGTGGTGACAGACGCGGTCTCGGGTTTAACCCCAAGTCGACGCAACGAGCGCACGCATGCCTGCTCTTGCAACATAAATAACTGGTTATATAGTACTTACATACATATAAAYTTCATCTTAACAGTCAGCTGTATATACACAGAGTACTGTCTGAGTTTTTTCTTTTTTTTAGATTTTCACTTTATTTAATGCGTCCGTCCGCTGTCAACACATATCGCAATTTTTATTTCCGCACAAATGGTTGCACGTTGCGTCCAAATTTGATGGTTGCTTCGTAGCAAGCATTAAGCATAAAGTGTGGCTTGAGATTTGATTGGCGAAGTTTTCAAATTTATGATTCTAGGTTAACGGGTTTCTGTAGTTATTTTATGTCTAAAATAAATTTCTAGTTCTAATTTCTAATGTTTTCCGCTGAAACATTACACAATGCGATTATGATAGTTGTGGAAAATATGGCGTGACTTCTGCCATTTCTTCTTTTGATTATTTTTTGCGCCTTTTTATTTTGTTCTAGAAATCCAAAGTCCACACGAAAGGCTTCAGAAGCTAATTGAGTAGATTTAGATGAACAAAAACAAGTTTATGCCTGTARTAAGTTCGGTAGTGAACTTTCTAAGTACTTTCGAATAAAATATCGYATGAAGATCCCTATAGTGCTTGAATTTTTGATTATCTATTTATCTTTACAAATTTAAAACAAAAACTGTAACATCGTCTGTAACGAAGTTATAATTGAATTGATARGTGCATTTTTTTATTTTGAAAACGTAACCGTCCATAGATTTACAACCAATGGAGACCGTTTGCTTTTTTAAGCCAGTTTGYTTGATATAAGGTTTGAGTTCCAACAGTCCAGCAGTGAATCAAAAGAAGATAACGGTGCGCCTACCCGTTACTTTCTGCAGTTACTGAGACTGAAGTATCTGTCTACGCAAGCTCTTCAGCCTGCAATACCGCTGTGGCCAGCTCTTCAACCTGTCTAATAATAAAATAACTCGAAGAGGTAAGGAGCCTAAACATCTTTACACTCGTCTTGAGAGCACAGCCAGCGAATTAAGGCTAATATCACTGCCCTACTACCGGTGTGGATAGTCACTATCCTGACTGAAGGCTGCTTTTTCCTCATGGACMTAGTCACTGAACTCCATCRRRTATTGYAAARGAYTAAAATTGGTCTATGCTATGCCACAGGGCTTACCAGACTAATCTGACATAACCGTACCTTTGTCAATTTTAAATAAAAACTTGTTGTTGAGGAGTATTATAACATATTATTCTGTGAGCCATAAAACCTTTTATTTAAAAAAGAAAGTTTCCAAAATTTTTTACGGTATATAACTCATTGATAAATGAAAMTATGCGCCTAATTGCCACCTTAAAAGGWTGAGCCTAAATGTAGGCRATAATTTCTTTTGCTTTTTCAYTTTGKTACACAGTTTTTTTCGAAAATTTTTCTTTCTCTTTCTAGTCAACCTAATTGTATTTTAATAACTTACCGACTAAGAAAAAACTCATAGTGCATACAAGGTTAAAMAATTTTTAGATGATTTCTTGATTATTATCAATATTATTAAACTAAAGTTTTTACTAACACGCGACATAACAAAAAAAAGAACAATTTTTCACCCTTTAAGGGGAGAGACTGATTTAGAAGCTTCAGAAAATTTATCTTTTTTCTGCTTAAATCTCTTTAGAAAATAACTAAGAATATGTTCCCGAAGTTATAGATGGAAATTGGAGATATTTTCGAAGCCAGAAGGAAAAGGACTGAGGGCTAGCAGATATATGAGCGATAGGGCAGAACGCGAAAACTTTGTCGCGTGATTTCTCGGTTTTTAATTTTTACTATTTTACTGAAATGGCGGGCAAGATAGAAAAAAAAAAAACTAAAAATTTATTATCTTTGGCATTAAATTATCTTCTTTTTAAACTATAAAAAACTATGAAAACTCATGTCTGAACATATTTTTAAACAATATAAATTGGAAAAATTTTGGCAAAAACCCAATATTTTTTCAAGTTTTAAAA